CCCCCCTCGGTGTTTGCCATCGGGATTGGGTTTTCGTCGCTTGGCAACGACGTTGTAAATCAAGCCAATTCACTTCGTGAACTCGGCAACCAGGTTACCTTTTTTTTTTTTTTCCTCTGTTTTTTTTTTGGCGGTAACCATAATGGTGGTCGAGTAGATCATGTTGTGCGGGGTGGAGAACCCTCGCTCCGTGCAAGGGGGATGATCGCACCACGATGTGTTAAAATGGTCAAGCATCCTCGAGGCAGTTACACAGTGCTTACAACTGTCTCTGAAAGTGAAAGCACCAGAAAATAAATTAAGTCATACGCAGCTGTCATCCGTACGCAAGAAAGTAAGCACAAGATGCCGAACACCCTTAGCAGGATGCAGCTCACCCTTCATGCGACTCGCCGAATACCTCACGGCGCTTCGCGCTTGGTGATGTGAGAGCCTGGTCCGGTGAGAACCCGGCGTGCTCCGTCCCGGCTTTATAGGGACGCGAGGTCAACGGTCTAACGACTACGGCATGCACGACTATGAGTACACCCCCCCCCCCCCCCTCCTGTACACGAAATCTACCCATTTTCTTTGTTCTGCCCCTCTTGGCCAGATTTTGACGCCATGGCGAGAGCCCCCCGCCCCCGAGAAAGAGGCGTTCATGACCTTCTGGCTCACACGAGACGCCCTCGTGCACGTGTGCGTGGACTCGCGAACCCCTCCGAGCAAGCTGCCGTCTTGGCTGGAGTACGCCGGCTTCCGAAAGATACCGGTGCGTCGTTTGTGCTGGTCTCTCTCGAGTATTGCCGTCATCTACGTTTTTTTGAGAGGTTTTTGCTTTTGGTAGAGAGAAGTGCCCACGGGGGTACAAATTTGAGGTCGTGTTCCGGCGGCAGTTGATAGTGTTCCGTGCCGGCTGACTCCCGTTGGTACTGCTGTTGTGTGGTTGGCACCGTTTGTCGCTGTGGAATAAGTATTAATATAATTTTGTCCAACAGCTGTTGTACTTTGTGCACAACAACTACGTTTCAACCGATGGGGGATAAAAGATAAGCGATAACGTTCTGAGTGGGCATCCGAGTCCAACAAGCCCCACCGCTCGGTTTGGTTACCCCCCTCCATTTCCTCCTTTCTTACCTCCTCCGTTTCATTTTTTACAACCCCGTCGTGTTTCTTGAACCGGTGCTAAACACGCCGCTGGGGGAGCAGGGCGCCCAAGTGCGGACGTCGGAAGCGGGCTTGAGCCTCGAGGTGTTTCGACGCTTTTTCCGAGCGAAGACCCTCGTTAGGCTCGGCGGGAGCGACAACGGCCGGGACCTGGCGCAGACCTTGACGGACTTGAGGTGATGGCCACACCCGCTTGTTACGTTCTTCTTCTTGCCTTGTAAGCCATCCATGCTTTGTTTCGTGGACTACTTTGGTCGCAGTGTGTGCATCGCTCCGTTTGCTGTGTGCATCCCCGGCGGCAACAACCACGGGGCTGTACGCCCGAAAGCAAAAAAGCAACCGCACACGTCCGCGTTGTTGCTATCTGTTGGAAGGAGAGTTCGACCCTTGCGGCTCGGTGACAATTCATTGATCATATTGGCCGCTTGGCAAACACACTTTGGGTCAGATTCTCCGGTCAACAGAGCCAAAATGTGAACTCCTGAGGTCCCGTGCCCTCCATCTTGCCACTCACGCTCCTTTTCTTTTTTCGTGCTTGTGTGTTGTTTTTTTTCCAGCGGGGCTGCCGTCAACCCGGACGGCCCGGCCCCCAAGGGTATGCTGGCGAACTACACAGTTCTCCTCACTACGGTGCCGCCGCCACCGCCGTCGCCATCATCGCCGCTACCGTCGGTATCGTCGCTAGGCGACGCTGCCGTCCCGACGCCTGGGGCGACGGCGACGGTGGCGGTGGCGGCAGCGTACGGCGAAGAAGCGGACGTGCGTGACGCCCTCGTGGACCGAGACGTGGGGGAGAGCATCGTTTGCCGGCGCCGATACCGCATCCTGCCAGACTTCGGCCCGGGAGATCGACCTTACGTGGTGAGAGGAGAAGGAAAGCGAGTCTGGTTTGTTGGATCGATAAATTACACGGCACAACCGAGTGTGTCGTAGAAAGTTGGTTGATTTTTGTTTTGTGCTTGGCAGTCGTGAGTGTACAGAGCCGACATCGAGAGTGTTTTGTTTTGAGTCAACGTTCTTGGCTGCTTGGGAGCGTGGTTGTTCCATATGGCGAAGCAGGTTGTCGCGCTTTCCTGTCCGTTCGTCTGTACCTATGCGCTGCTCTCTGTGTGCATGCCGTGAACCTCGCTCTGTGTAACTTTCTCACCCTCCGCTCCCGTCCTTCACTTCGCGAAACCCCTTTCCAATACCCCCCGCGCGCACACTTTTCCCGCCCCGAAACGACCAATCGCGGCGTCGCGTCACGACTTTCAGGACCGCGACTACACGATCCCTTCGCTGCCCGTCGAGCTGCAGGGCGTGCGACTCACCTGCGTCCAGACCGCGCAGGGAGACAAGCGAGCCGGCGGGTCTCGGTTCTGGAGGTTGTCTCTGATGCAGGTGGGAAGAGGGCGTACTATAGCGCTGGTTGGTCGGGGCAGGGTTGTGGACACCCCGAAATTTGAGGCTGTGTGCAAGCAGCCTCTTCCGTAGGAGATGTAGCTGTAATAATCAGCAAGAGGGGGTCCCGCTATTTTTCTGCGCGTTTCTGGGGGTAGGTTCTTGTCTCTCGTTGTAGGCTAATGTACTTGGGGGGTTGCGCTGGTCCATGGCGTCCGGGGCGTCCGCGAGAAAAACATCAGAATGAAACTCGTACATGATGAACTGTCGCGGAACGCGCACCTTTGGACTCATCCCACACTCCCCGGAGACGAAAACACTACAAAACGCTACCACATTGCTGATATCATTCCCTCTTGCAACGGTTTGGTAGGTCTCGCCGACACCAGGTAGGGGGGCTGTTTCCAGTGCAATCGGGGCGCGAGCGCCATTATCGCCTCGCTTCGTCCATCTCTTGGCGGTTTTCCTCATGCCGTCGTCCTGTGCGCGCGGCCCTCCTCTGCCTGGTGCCCACCGCACCGTCATTCTCGTGTGAACGTGCTCGCCGAATTGTCCTCGCTGCATGTCGACTCACTACGTTGTGTATACTCTCTCAGGAGTCCGTGGTGCTGGTGATCTTCGACGCTCGGGCCCAGTCCGTCCCGCTGTGGCTCTCGGCATCCGGCTTCGTGCTGTGGGAGGGCGTTCAGCTTGCCGGGGCGCAGTACAAGATCCCGTACAAGTACAAGGTGTGTGGTGGACTCGGATACTGGGCTCCTGTCGGTCGTGTTAAGACAGTTGGCGGAAGGAAGGGGCCTTGCTTACACTCCCCGCTGAGAATGGTCGACCTGCTCCTCTTACAACTGCCGTCGAAGAATCGCCTTTTGGCGAAGGTTTAGCTTGAACTCTCTTTTTGAATGCCGTGGATGGCCCTCCGGGTGTGCTCACGACCCACGAACGCGCGAGTGTCAACTAGGTTGTTTGTACGGGTGCTTAGTCCGTGGAACGATCACAGTCGAAAGTACTACCAGGTACTCCGGAAGGCGAGCAGGGTTGAGCCCATCTCTCCTCGTGCTCTTCTCGGGCATGGCTCACACCTCCGAACAACGATGCCCATCTTCAAACCCTGGCCCTCTGCTTGCCGAACCCTTCTTTCTTTGCGTGCTTTGTTCTTGACGAAAGGTGTACCGCAAGACGTGCCAAACGGGTTTGGTCTGGCTTGGGGGTAACGGCGCCAGAGGCTGCAAGGGCGCGAAGCGAGGCTACTTTGTCCTTGTCCATGTCGCTCACCGTACGCTTTCTCCCGTCGTTGAAGTGCCACAAGAAGCAGCAACAACAACAGCAGCAGAAGCAGCAGCAGCAACAGCAGCAGCAGCAGCAGCAGCAGAAGAGGCAGCAACAACAAGCTCCCAGAGGAACGCCGTCGACGACAACAGCGACGTCGACAGCAACGGTTCCGTCGTGTCCACGCTGTCCGCACCCCCCTTTCCGTCGCACGCTGAGGAAGGAGATCTAGGAGAAGGAGGCCAACCCCTGCTGACCGCCGCCTCAAGAAACTCGATGGCCTCGCGCTCGCGCTCATTCGAGTCCTTGCAGGGCCTCGTTGCCACTCCCGACCGATCCCGTCGCCGTGACCGCGACCCCACCCCCGGCGGCGGTGGTGGAGGCGTCGGCGCCGAAGGGACGCGTTTCGGTGACGGCGTCGGTGAAAGTTTTGGCGGTGACGGCGTGGGCGCAAGCAGGGCAAACAGGCCTAGAGCGTCTTCTTCCCGCCACGAGGAGCGACGCCCGGCCGCTGCCGGGCTCCGTCGGCGCGGAATGTCGACGACGGACGCAGCGATACTCGGCACCCGGTCGGCGCTCAGCGGTGGCAACAGCACCGAACTTGGCGGCGGCGGCCGCGCGAGCGGCCGCGCGCGCGCTTGGACGGGCGGGGGCGAAGAAGCCGTCTCTAACGGCCGTGGCGTCGCCGGCGCCGGCGCCGGTGCCGGCGGCACCTACGGTACCGGAAGCGGTGGCAGCGCCGTCTTCGGCGGGAGACCGGGCGAGCGGAGCAGAGGAGGGCTGCAGCGCATCTCGCCGCTCTGGGACACCGGCAAGGACGGGCCGCTGTCGCAGATGCCGGTGCCGTTCGATCGGGTCGGTCGGACCTGGAGCCGGTCTTTCAACGTCGACGCGGCCAAGACGGGGGGCCCGCTGGAGACGTCGGGGGCGACCCTGGGGGTATCGGTGTCCGCGCTCACCGGGCAGTTCCACCGCACGCGCGTCGTGACGTTGTACCCGCGGCTGGTCGTGCGAAACTTCCTGGGCTTCCCGCTCGAGGTGTGTGAGATTTTTTTCCTGTTTTTTTTTTATGTGTTCGTGATTCACGGTTGCCGCTTGTACGGCTGCTAGAGCAGCTGCTGCCATGTCTCGGGGGGTGAAAGGTTTTGCACTCTCGAGTGTTACCTGTTACAAAACCTTAATCGCGTCGATTGCTGTGCTTTTGTCCGATTCATGCGGGTTGTTGCCGTGGCGTTGTTGTTTTTCTCGTTTGTTCCTTCGTGCCGGGGGGCTTCCCATTCAAGTTTTTTTTCAGCCCCGCCCCCGGCTAAGGGCACCACTCCCTCCACCTGGTCTACTTCTCTTTGCTGCTACTGCTGATACTTCCTCTACCACACGCGCGCGATAACGACCAGGTAATGCCCACGGTGATGTCGCCCAAGGCCGCCGCCGTCGAACGCCTCGCCAAGTGCATCCCGCCTGCGATGCCCCCGTCCTGCCGGGATGCGTCCTTCCTGCGTGGGTACCGTGCCTCCCCCCGACACTTCCTTCGATCAGGAAGGGCGGACGGGCCAGCAGAAGGAAAGGGAGGAGCGGGTTCCGGCGGTGTTGGTGGTTATCCCACCGGCGCTGGCGCCGGTGCCAGCGCCGCTGCGGTCGGCACCGGTCACCTTGCCCGAACCGTGCCAAACTCTGAGGCCGTGATCATCTACGCCTTCAACGCCGCCGATGACCTGGCCAAGGGGCTCGCCATCGCTGCCGCTGCCTCTGGGAGCAACCACAGCGTCGCCGGCGGCGCGGGAGACACCGGTGTCGCCGGGGTCGCCGGGGACCCGGACGACCACCGGAAGTGCGTCCTTTTGCGAGCGGCGGCTGCGGCGACCGGGGCGGCGGTAGCCGACGTCGGCGACGAGGACGGCGGTGTCGGTGGATTCGGCCCGGCCCTGGCGACGGGGCTCTCCCGACCCGTGCTATCGGACGAGATGGGGGAGACCCACCTGTGGGTCGTGGACTCGAACGGCCGGCGGCACCTCGCGGCGGCGTTCGTGTCCCTCCAGCGGGCGACGGTGTTCGTCACGCTGTCGACCTCGGCGCAGTTCCCCCCGTTCCGCGTCGAGAACCGGTCCAGCACGGAGACCCTCGCTTACCGACAGGTGGGGTGCTTGCCGGCTTGGGTACAGAAGCGTCCCGGCAGGGGGGCTACGTGTCGTTGCACCCGTGCTAGGAATCGTGGCTGCATACCATGAGTAACCTTTTGCCTCACAATTATTGTGTCCAATAATTGCGTGTACGCTACCTTGGCTCCCGATTGTTTGCCTACCGATTGTCATTGGTTGTGCCCTGTATATGCCATGAATGGAAGTAGAGCCAAGGAAGAAGTTGGCGCTCGTACGCAGTTGCAGCGGGTGCTTCAGCTTCTATTGACGTGGCTCCACGTCCGGCATTCTCTCTCTCTCTCTCTCTCTCTCTCTCTCTCTGTCTCTCTCTTTCTCTCTGTCTCTCTCTTTCTCTCTTTCTCTCCTTCTCTCTCCTTCTCTCTTTCTCTCTCTTTCTCTCTTTCTCTCTCTCTCTCTCTCTGTCTCTCTTTCTCTCCTTCTCTCTCCTTCTCTCTTTCTCTCTCTTTCTCTCTTTCTCTCCCCTTCGTCACTTTGACGAAATTCGCTCGTGCCCCGAAGGTCGACGCGCACAAAAGCATGGGCTGGCACATCCTCCCTCCGCTCTCGTGGCACGCGTTCCTGTGGCAGGAGCCCGACAAGCCGCGGGCCATCCAGATGGCGTTCGCGTCCTCCCTGACCCGATCCGGCAGCGACGCTCGACACAGCGAGGTGATGATGGTCGCCGTCGCGAGCGCACGAATCGTCCCTCTTTGGGTGCCTGCCAATCCGAGAGACCCATACGAGCACCATCTAACCTGTTGTGTAGCCTGGTCTTGACGTCTTGACTGCTGCTTTCGGATGGCTTCAGACGCCACCGCCATGCAGGGAGCGCTGAGAGGGAAAACACCTGCATGGTGATGCAGGAGCACTGTTTGTGAGCCGTTTCGGATGGCCGCGTAAGCGAGGTCCGCTATAACTTCTGGTCTCACCCCCTCCCCGGTGATGATTCCGCCGAGCAAGGGTCACGGGTGGGAATGAGACTGTGCCGGCCTTCCTGTCCAACCAGGGTGTCTCAACACGGCTCTTGTCGTACCCGTCATTAGGTGAACCAATAACTCGAACGCTCGACACTTGTTTTTCTTGTTCACCCCCCCTCCCCCCTCCCCCCTCCCCAAATAGGAGTACTCTTTGGATAAGATTGGGGTGACGGACTCTCTTGAGGAAAAGAGCATCACTCGGAGCGTCATCACGCGCGTTACAACCGGAAGCACGGTCAAGAGGTGGGGTTTTTCTTTTTTTCGTTGTTCACTACAAAAGGGATTCGCGGTCTCCGTTTCTTGTTTTTCTGTAGTCGTTTCGTCCTCGACGTGTACTGTCATGTTGTGTTTTGTTTATTCTATATTTATGTGTGTGTGCGTGTGCGTTTTTTTGAAAAACTGAAGACATGGTGTACTGACATGGTGTACTGATAGTACACCAATGTGTGTGTGTTTTTTCATAGCTAGCATTCATGGTAGAGAACCAAACACCAGCTTCGTAAAATATCTGGAGGGTCTTGTTCTGAGTGTTGGATTCGGTCCGGAAGGATGCGAAATTTCTGGTGTTTGACAGATGAGCACCTTCGATGAGACTGATCTCCCGAAAGTAAGTGTCGAACGATTAGCAGTACCTATCCACCACCTGGAAAGAACACGAAAGAAAGACGTTGGGAGTGCGTCTGAGAGAGGTTGAATTGTCCTCCGTCTCACACGGGGGTACAGACGCATTTCGTTTTCCGCACCGTACACACAGGTCACATAGTGGTGGCGAAAAGGTTCGAAAGGAAAGCAACAACTTGCAATTCCTCTCGCTTCCCTTTGCAAAGAACGTAAACGAGCTCGAACTCTAATTCTTGTCTCTACTGTGCGGCCATGCGGGGTAGAGCAAGAACAATATGGCACATCTTCTCCCGCGGTGATCAGGTAGGCTGGCAACATATTCTTTGAGGTCAACCCCCCCTCCCCCCGCCCTCACGTTGTGTCATTTTCGCCGCGCCCCCTGTTGAAAGACTGTATTCTGAGGTTCGGGTAGAGGGGCGAACGCGCGTGCTGAGCTTCGGCGATGTCCGCCTATCAGACGGGCACGAACAGGGTCACGCCGACAGCGTCACTCGGGTAGGTTAAAAGGATTGTACCAGATTCACCTCCAAGGTGGTACAGAACCGCGTGGTTTTGTGTTACATTTTCTGAACCGTATGGTAATGACAACTTTAACAAGGTTCTCGGTAACATGGAACGTGAAAAAAGCTAGCATACGTTTTGCGCCAAGTGAAACCGGGCAATTTTTCAACGGTTAATAGTAATGAAATACAGCAGCTGAACACGAGGCAGACTTGGAGGGAGCGAGAGTTGATTTGTAAATGGTAGTCCCTTTTGTTTTGTAAGGGTGAGGCGACGAAAAGATAATCTTTTCAATCTTTCCTCAGTGGCAAAAATACAGTCCCTGCTTTGCGGTGGGGTGGGCGGTTCCCGCCGCAAGAGGACCCGCAACCAACGTTGACCGGCGCGTCTCTTGCTAACGTGTGGGTTGCCAAATCTCTCCTCGTGCAGCTGAAGCGGCTCTACAACCAGCTCGACATCGGCGTTCGTTTCTCCGGCCTGAGCTTCAACATCGTAGAGTGCTCAACGGAGGTGAAAGAGCCGGGGGCGAGGCGGAGAGAGTGCGGTTTAGTTGTTGTTGAACCAGAGCAGCTTGCTCGTATTGCGGCGAGATGGCGTTTCGTTCGATACAATGGCGTGTGCCAGTTCCCAATGTCTTGTCATTGGCGTTATTTAGCGCAAATGTCGACCAGGCAACCAAACCCCTTGTCCAATGGGGCAGCGCTCGCTGTTGTTGCGATTTTACCGTGGTGCCTGCTCGATATCCTGCTTTGTTGGTTGTGATGTTTGTCGTCGTCGTCGTCGAGTTACTCATTCTTGTTTTACTGCGGGGACGATACGCCGTTTGATCAGACAAGACGATAAGTTCGCCTGTCCCCGACGTTTCACGCCCTGTTTTTGCGTCGTCTGGCTGTCCAGGGACCGTCCGAGGTGATGTCCGCCCACGTGGACAGCGTTACGGTCGCCAAGCGCAGCGGCGACAACGTGGTCGAGCTTCAGGTCTTCCACGTGCAGGTGAGCGTTTTATTTTTGCCTTTTTTCGTTTTCCAAAGGGGGTGGGACGAAAGACATGACGAGGTAAAGAGATGCTTGCCTTTCCGTACTAAGCTCCCCGCCCCTCTCTGTCCCCTTTAACCAATCCCCGGCCCTCCTCCCTGCTTCCTTCTGAGGCAAGGTGGACGACATGCGGAGGCGAACACGGATGCCGGTGGTTCTTCAGCCGGCAGATAGCGGATTCAACAGCCACCTCAGAGAGGCGAGGGAGGGTGGAGCGGGCGGTAACAGAGGCGCCGTTCCCTTCGTGAGGCTCTTGTGGGACAAGGAAGTGGCCACCCTCGGCATGCCGCACCTCAAGAGCTTGGACTTGGAGCTTCAGGTAGGAAGGCCACGAGGTTTTTGATCCCCCCCCCCCCCCCCTCCCGACCTGGTCCGCCAAAACGCCCCCCTCTCTATCTCGTAACACCACCCGTGCTCCCGTGTGCTGAAGATTCATATCGAGCCTCAACTCTTACCCCAACATATGTCGGTCGAAACTGACGGTTGCTCCCGTGTGCTGAAAGTAAGAACCTCGAAACTCTTTATCCAACTCATGTCTTAGTCGAAGCTGTCGGATGCTTCTACCCCTTATGACCTAACCATGGCCCTATACCTATTCCTGTACTTCACGGTTTTTGGCTTGGCGGGACAGGAAATGCGGGCGAACGTAGACCTGGAGTTCGTGCTCCACCTCCTTGCGCTGACGGGGTCGTTGGTGCCCGAGCTCACTAGCGAGGAAGTCCTGGCCAAGATGTGCCGCAAGAAGGCCAAGGTCACCGTGCGGCACACTGTGAGAACACTCGAGAGACGTTGTGTGAAGCGGGGGCATGGTCGACGGGTGTTCGTTCGAAGGTTGCAGCGTAAGGGTTAGATCTGCCAACAACAAGACTACCCCGGGAGGGCTTCTTTGGCTACAGTACGGCAGCCAGCTTCGCGTATCGATGCTATCATGACCCGCGGTAACCAGCATACTATCGTACTTATTTTTTGAGTGGCAACGTACCGCGGTTAGGGGCTGGGCCAGGGTAACGGCTTCAAGTCTGCCGCGTGTGTTCGTGTTTTGACCCTGTGATCGTAGCATGTGTCAGCTGTGCGGGAGGAGGGCGTGAACACCGGCGGTGTGTGTCTCAGACCTCACACAGTTTCGCTCATCGTTGCCTCTCCTCCGGGTTGCCGGTTACTTTTGTGAGACAGGGTTAAGTCCCCACCGGGTGTCACGTCGGCAATGCTGCACCCCCCCCCCCTCCATCGCCGCCTGTCTGGTGGCAATCCCGACGCGCTTCACAAGCACCTTTGGCGTTGCTGGGTACACTACGAATGCCACGCAGGATAGCCGTGAGTGGCCGGCCGCCCTCCAACGATCATCTAGAGACCACTTTAGCCCCCCCCCCTGTTTCGTCTCTCCAACGTACAAAATATCCCAACAAACGTTGCCAACACAGGTGCCAACCCCCGCGAAGCGGGACCTGTCGATGGTGTACGTGGAGGCCTTCCGGCACTCAACCATCGTCGTGCGGGTCGAGCTTTGGGTGGGGCAAGCCGCGCTGTCGCCCGACGCGGCCGCGCTCGAGGATCCAGAGACGACTACGGGTGAGTTTTGTGGATTCGACCCCCCCACCCCCCCACGCAAAGTAGGCTCAAGATGCCGAACACCCTTAGCAGGATGCAGCGCACCCTCCATGCGACTCGCCGAATAGCTCATGGCGCTCCGATGTGCTATTTAGCCTGGTCCGGTGAAAACCCGGCGTGCTCCGTCCCGACTTTGTAGGGATGCGAGGTCAATGGTCTAACGACTACGGCATGCACGGCTATGAGTACACCCACCCACCCCGTTCGCCAGGATGCCCAGTCAACCCATGGCATACCTGGTGTGGCATCGCAAATGCATGGATGATGACCAACTTGTGGTTCATCCTTGTGAATCGTAGCCTGGGCCGGGGTAAACCCGGCATATCGCTCCGTCCCGGCATTGTAGAGATGCGAGGTCTATGGTCTATCAACTACGGCATGTGTTTTTGAGTACCCCC